TCGCCGGTTGTGGTGTTGGTGGTGTCGGAACCCTCGCCAGTTGTGGTGTTGGTGGTGTCGGAACCCTCGCCAGTTGTGGTGTAGGTGGTGTCGGAACCCTCGCCAGTTGTGGTGTTGGTGGTGTCGGAACCCTCGCCAGTTGTGGTGTTGGTGGTGTCGGAACCCTCGCCGACTGTATACATAGCACCTTCGTCAGTGTAGGACCCTTCTCCTCCGTCACCTAACTTTGAAGCACCGCCGGGTGACGACTCTGCCAAAAAATTTTTTATTAAAATAAAATAGTTTATCCTTTAAAACATTTCGCACGAAGAGAAAATGGTTTATAAATTGTGCAGGACTAACTTACATATTTTTGTTTTCTAATTTGTATTAACCTTGTGACCGCCAGGTTTCGTGGCTACCATGTACCTCAACTGCAGTCAATAAGTTACATCAACAATGTAGAGACAGACTCAAGGCTCTCAGAACTGTAGTGGGGTACAGCCCGAAATATGGTGTTAATATTAGAATAGCAAGAATGATGTATTTAGCGTACATAAGGTCTCTGATAGACTATCATGCACCAGCTTTGGTCCTGCAGAATGGCAAAAGTATTGATAGACTGGAAAAAATGCAAAATGAAGCACTCAGAATTATACTTGGCTGTCCTATAACTACCAAAGTTCTCAACATGCGGAAAGAATTAAATATACTTAGCATTCGAGATAGAATATTTGAAATTAATCTTATGATGGGACTAAAGCTGCTGCGTGATAACAAAAACAACATTGTGTCAGTTGCACTGTTAGAACACATACGAAATGGAACTAGCGAGTCTAAATGGATTCAAAGAACTGCCACTCATATTAAAATGATGGGACTGCACGATGTATATACAGATGAAAGAGTACAGCACTTCCTTCCACCCTGGCAGATAGTACCTTTTGACATCCTGACCCCTGCATACTCCACCAAGAAACTAATCACAAGCAACCCTCATGCTCAGCTTGCTGCTAAATTAAGCACCATAGAACACATTCACAATATACAAGCTGAAAACAACATTGCACAGACCATATACACTGACGGATCACTCAATACAGCTACAGGGAGGGCAGGAAGTGCTGTTATTGCTCATCAGCCCGATGGCAGAATAATTCAAAGATATATCCGAATTAGTAACTGGGCGTCCACAATGCAGGCCGAGTTGGTAGCGATACTGGTAGCACTCGAAATTATTGACAACACTGAAGTAGACAGCTTAATTATTTCTGACTCCCTTTCCTCACTACGAGCAATAAACAGTTTGCAATCAAGTAATAACGTGCTTGTCTTGGAAGCTAGACGTAGATATATAAGAATACTTAGCAAGAGGGTAAATATAAAAATGTTGTGGATTCCTTCTCACATTGGCCTGCAGGAACATGACAAAGTTGACGCCCTTGCTAAGGCTGCAGTAAATAAAGACAGTATTGAATGGAATCTTGAGTTATCAAATAGGTCCCTTAAAAGTGTCATTAGACGAGAACTCCTAGATGGATTTGAAGAAAGTAGAACAGTGCAAACTGGAACTAGCAGGTCCATTGTTCATCACAATGAAATGTGTGAAGTAAAACATGTGTATGGGGCAAGTAACAAAGTCAGTAGACTAACAGATGTTGTCACAGCTCGTATAAGACTTGGCTACAAGTATCTCTGGCAGTTCGGCTTGTATAGGGATCTAGATGAAGTAAAGTGTAAAGTGTGTGGACATAGGCAGGGACACACACTCGAACACTATATATTGGATTGTTGTAAAATTGAGCCTTTTAGAGATAAGTCTAAGCTCACTCTGTGTGATATGGCAACCTATCTTATTACCATGGATAAATTACCTGAAATCCTTGCACTGTACCCACATTTTGCTTCCAGTAGATGAACGACATATGAGATTCAGAAACAAGTAGTGTATTGTGAGGACTAATAATAAACAGAAGCTCCCCTATGACTCTGTAATATCCCCATTGGCCAAACTATTATGTATTAACGACAAGACCTACCATTAATGTATGATGACTTACTGTAAATATGTAGCTCTTGTAATAGCACTTTCTCTGTAACTAGCTGACATTGTATCTATAAGGTGTGAAGGATTGAAGAAATTGTTTATGTAATAATCTAAGATGAGGTTTGATAAAGACCTTTTGTGCCCTCTGTAATGCTTTTGCGCTACCGCTCACAGGATGAGTATGGGGTGCACAATAAACTAGCCGCCTTCGGCGGCAACAATCAAAATCATTGGGAACAGCAAGAAACATATAATTTTATTGTAAGAATCTAGCGGAATTTACCCGATGGTCACCATATCTTTAGTGACCTTGACGGGGATAGGAAGCTGGCGGCTTGTCAAAGGTTTCAGAGGATTGTTTCTAACTGCCTTACTGCCCGAAACGCTTTGCGTAATAGTGGCTTTAGGCATTGTATGTACTAGCTCTATCTATTAACCCAACAAACTTTGTAAAATCACTTGTATGTATGTACCTTACCTAAATAAACATTTATTTATTTATTTATTATTTATTTATTTATAACTGGATTTTGAAGTGAAGTAATGTCTTGGCATTTACGGCCTGGGCGGGTGAGCAGTTCCATGGGCATATAAGCCAATGGGTGAAAGGCATCTGTTGTATGTCCTGTTGAGCTTGACGTTGTTAACCCTTCTATGTTATATTTGACCACTTTAAAGAAGTTTACCTGAGAGCCACTAACAGTAATGGCCTCGATGAGGATAGGAAGCCAGCGGCTTGTCGAAGGTTCCCCCCATTTACCTTGATCTTTTCCAGCTGTAGTTTAAATGTTAACAGAGTTTTGGCATTTACCGAGTCGTTCGGTGGTCGGTTCCATGTAAATGATAAAGTTGTTACGATTAACAATTGGGATGGCAGCTGTCTCTCTGGAATGGCATAAGACACCCTGGGACAGGAGCTGGTACCCTAGGATGGCAGTCTGCTCCCTGGGATAGGATATTGTACCATGGGATAGGCTACAAGTACCGACAATACAACATAATACAGTGTTTATTCAAAAAACTGTGTGTACAAAGGACAGAGGAGTCATGCAATAGTTGTAGGGACAGGAGTTGCACAATCTATGAAACCACTATTATGCAAAACGTTTTGGGCAAAATTTATAATAATTTTGAAAAAAATTATATAAAGGTGTGGGGGGAACGGTGTGATTATTAATTACTACTATTAGTATTAATAGTATGACTATTAATACTAAAAGTTAAAATTGTTTGAAAAAGTACAAGAAAAATAACATGAATACAATAACAAATGAAAGTTAATAACGACACCATACTGGACCTTTACATTGTGGAGTTAGTAGTTCCAGCAACAGTACAACAATTAATTTACATTAATAACATAACGAAAATACTAAGGAGCAATTTAGAAACGCAAGTGGAACAGAAGCTACCATAGAGTAATTAATAAAGGCTAATTTAAGTTTAATGGGTCCAACACTTATAAATAAACAAGCATTAAAAAGAACATGAGTATACACTTTATAAATGAAATGCAAAACTTAGATGACTCTTTCATAATGATGCTCTGCCAGGAATGTTAGTGAAGCATCCGAAGTGTGCTTACAGTAGGTGCAGCCTGCACATGACTGTAGGTGCAGCCTGCACATGACTGTAGGTGCAGCCTGCACATGACTGTAGGTGCAGCCTGCACATGACTGTAGGTGCAGCCTGCACATGACTGTAGGTGCAGCCTGCACATGACTGTAGGTGCAGCCTGCACATGACTGTAGGAGCAGCCTGCACATGACTGTAGGTGCAGCCTGCACATGACTGTAGGTGCAGCCTGCACATGACTGTAGGTGCAGCCTGCACATGACTGTAGGAGCAGCCTGCACATGACTGTAGGTGCAGCCGGCACATGACTGTAGGTGCAGCCTGCACATGACTGTAGGTGCAGCCTGCACATGACTGTAGGTGCAGCCTGCACATGACTGTAGGTACAGCCTGCATATGACTAATGCTGCCGCCCAGTTGGGTGGGTGTGGAGCAAGATTAGTAATTGTGTGACTCACCATAGATGTAAACTGCCTTGTATAGAGACTGTTAAAGGCCTCTTTTTGAATCACTTGTCGTATGAAAAGACAATGTATGAATGTACGGGTAAGTTTCGTTACGTTAGGTTGGACTAGGCTATCCTAGGATAGGAAAGGGTAAGTAGGGTTAAGGTTTGCTGGATTAGAGTATCCTAGGTTGGATTATGTTATCCTAGGTTGGGTTAGATTAGGTTGGATTATTTTATCCTAGGTTTGGTTGAATTAGGTTATGCTAAAATGGGTAAAGGTAAGTTGCGTTACGTTAGGCTGGATTAGGCTATGCTAGGATGGGTTAGGGTAAGTTGGGTTAGGCTAATTTTGTTTAGATTTGGCTAGATTAAATTCTTAGGTTAGGTTAATCTGGGTTAGGGTTAGTTAAGTTGCGGTTAGACTGGTTTCACCACAACACAATATCCGCTGGGGAATCGTGTTATCGTAACAAACGCGATTCGTGGTCAAACGTTCTAATGGAGTCGTGTTTACATTGTGTACCGGGATGCAGGACTCGGGGTTCAACCGTTCTACTGACCTGCAGGGACCACCAGCAACAACAGGTGGGCCAGGAGAGCAGCTCGGAGCAGCAGCATGTCTGTAGTGAACTTCTGGTGACGCGTGGGAGACGAGGTGGGGTAGTCGCTGGGTGGGTCGGGAAGCGACTAGTAGGGTGGGCTGGAGGAGGTGGTGGGCGGCATGGTTCGAGTGGGCGAAGGTGGGCTGGTTCTGGCCTCTCCTCGCGTCACTTACACTCACACCTGCTGGTAATCCATGTGTTATATTATACAGAATGTGATGGTGGATATAAATAGGGGCTGCCTCATTTGGGACAATAGGAGCTGCCTCATTTGGGACAATAGGAGCTGCCTCATTTGGGCTAATAGGGGCTGCCTCGTTTGGGCCAATAGGAGCTGCCTCATTTGGGACAATAGGAGCTGCCTCATTTGGGTCAATAGGGGCTGCCTCGTTTGGGCCAATAGGGGCTGCCTCGTTTGGGCCAATAGGAGCTGCCTCATTTGGGCCAATAGGAGCTGCCTTTACCTTTCTCATCAGTCTTTTGTTCGGTACAGTATCAAAAACTTTAATACAGTCAGGGTAGACAACGTTCCAATCAAACTTTCCACCATCATCTGGCGCAAATGTGCTGGAATAGAATGGAAGTCAATTTACATGT